TGTGTGCCTGGTTTGTGGTCCCTTGGCACGCCAGCAACGCCCCCCCCCTCCGTCTTCTTTGCAGAGGCTGCCCCCGCTCCCCAAGAACCTCCACAGACCCCACCCCCACCCCCACCCTCAATATTTACAGGCCGCCCATCCTCTTTTGCCCCGGGCTCCTTGGAGGTGCCCGTCCTGCCCAAACAGACGAGGGACACGTTTCGCAAGACCATCTTGACTCTGTGAGATGTGGGGAAGGGGGGGGGCTCTTTCCCAGAGGGGAATTTCCCCCCCACCGTGGCAATTTGGGGAAGTGGAACCATGCTTGCAGGCTGGGAGAAACTTAACCTGCATGTCTGAAATAGCCACGAATGCCAGTCAATGTCTGTCCGTCCATCACACCCTAAAATGCACCATTTAGGACAATGGCTGTCAAACTTGGGCACTTTAAAGAGGGGTGGACTTCAACAGCAAAGCTGGCTGGGGAATTCTGGGAGTTGAAGTCCACCCCTCTTTAAAGTGCCCAAGTTTGATTGACACGGGTTTAGGAACGGGGAGATGCAGCCGCAAAGCAGGAAGACGTGATGGAAGGAAGGAAGGAAGTATGAACGATGGAAAAACAGGTCTGGGAAAGACGACAGGGGGTTACTGACCATAGGCAGAGTCGCTGAGGCTGTCGTGTTCCCCCGTGGAGGTCACACCGTCTGGAATCGAAAGGGGGCAAGTCAGGGGAAGGGACCTTGTGGGTCATCTAGTCCAACCCACCGCCCAAGCGGGAGACCCTACACCATTTCTGACCAATGTCAGTTCCAATCTCTGGTTGAAAGACTCAAGTGATGAAGCTCCCACAACTTCCCAGGGCAACTTCTGTTCCAGGGGTGGATTGTAGGGAATTCAAATTGACATTCAAAGGGAATAATAATAAGGTGGCTGTAGGGTTTGGCCCTCGGATGGGCATGACACGGGTGGATTTTAGGGGGTGGGGGGGGTCTTGAGCCAGTTTCTACTCCTCCAAAAATCACCCACCTTGACAATCGGCCGAGGGCTTGGCGGAGTTTTCCAGCTCTTGTTCAAATCCGCTTCTGCAGGGAAGCGAGAGAAGAGACGCCTCGTTAAATTAATTAGCGGCTGCTAATTAGTCAATTGGGCAACATCCAGAAGGAGGGGAGGAAAGCCGCATTCACACCAAGGGCCCAGGACTGACTCCCTTTCTTGGCTCGCTTGGGTTCAAGATTGGCAAACAGGGAGAAGGTTGGACCAAGATGGGACGATGGAGGTTGTGAGAAGGACGATACTGAGAGAGACAGAGAGAGACGAGGGGTCTCTTCGTGTATGCTAAAATTCTAACCTCTCTGGTTTGCTTTTTTAAAAAATCGAATTTTGTTTTTTAACCTAAGCTGCTCGAAAAGCATGTTTCTAGTCCTCACGGCTGGAAAGGAGGAAAAATGCAAGAAGCCGCCCCACCAACGCAAATTCAAAGTTTTTGCTTTCTAAATTCCAGGCAGAATAAGGAACGGGAGCAGTTGTTTCATTTCAATTTTTAAAACAAAATAAAATAATATAAAAACGAGTTTTTTTTCCAGCAGGGATTCAAAGGGAATAAATAAAAGTTGAGCGGGACAGGCAACGCTTCAAAGTAATACAATGAGGCCTTTTGGGTGACCTGATTTTGTGGCTGAAGTTTGCACAAGTCCCGGAGGGCAGCCAAACACAGTAGGGATCTCGGGAAGCCAGGCAGCTCCTGCGAGGAGAGAGAAAGAGAGAGAGGAGGAGGGGGAATGTTTGCACGCAAGGCCCCCACCCCCTTAGAACTGGGGGTGGGTGGGAGAAATCTGCTCCACAGGGTTGTTGTGCGCACCGACCCCTCCGTGTTTCTCGAAGGAGAAGCACAACTGGAAGGAGGGAGAGGAAGACTCACAATAGAGCCTCCAGAGAGAGGGGCAGTCTATCCTGGTTCTTTCTTCAAACTCCAAAGCCCATGGGTCCCTCCCCTGGACTACAGTTCCACCCTCTCCTCAGGCACCCTTCTCAGGTTCCCCCTCGCAGGATAAGGCGAGACGCCGGGCTCCTCGACTCGCCTACCTGCGGCAGGTGCTGTGGGACCCACAGCGGCTGAGGGGCATCTGGACCACGCAGCCAGAGAAGGCCACGTAGAGCGCGTGGTTTGCTTTGTCCAGCTGGAGCCCCAGGACCTGTCGGTCCTCACGCTTCACGCTACACCTGGGCAGGTAAGGGAGAGAAGGGCAGGGGTGAATTCTCTCGTTCTTGGCAAACTCTGTGTGTGTGTATGTATGTGTATGTGTATCTACCTACCTACCTGCCTATCTACCTGCCTGCCTGCCTGCCTACCTACCTCCCTATCTTTCTAATTATCATCTCATCTATCTGGCATCTTATAGTATTTATCTACCTACATCTCTTTTTAGCCAATCTATCAGTTCTCTCTCTGTAGACTTTGTCTTTATATTTACTATCATTTCTCTTTCTAATGTTTTTCTCTCTCTCTCTATCATCTGTCTGTCTGTTTGTCTGTCTATCTATCTATCTATTTATCTATCTATCATCTATCTGTCTGTCTATCTATCTATCCATCCATCCATCCATCCATCCACCCACCCACCCACCCACCCACCCGTATGTTCTGTGTTCTGGGCTGTCTTAGGAAACAGGGAGGGAAACGCCAGGGCAAGATGGCGGCTGGAAGGAAGCAGCCTTTGACAAGAGGTGAATTTTTTAAAAAAGCAGAATTGGGTTAAAAATGAGCAGAATTCCACCAGAGGCCTGCAAAAGTCACAGGGGTGTGTGTGTGTGTGTGTGTGTGTGTGTGTGTGTGTGTGTCTGAAGCCCGAGGTTCTGCACCAATTTCTCCTTTCTCAACGGCCGGGCAGGAGGGGCCACTGAATCGGGAGGCCGGCGGTGGGCCCTCCGGGGGCTCCTACCGGGAGGGCTGGTAGACAGACACCTCTTCCAGGAGGAGAGTCTGCACCGTCTGGTTGCCGGTGAGCCAGGAGAGCACCTTCAGCACGGCTCCATCTTCCGAGCCTAGGAACAGGACGGTGTTGTTCCGGAAAGGGCCGGCGGAGGGGTCCACGGCCAGGCGTGTCAGCCGGTACCTGCGAGGGAAGGGAGGATGCGGAGAGGTAAGTGGGGCCGCAGTAACCGAGGTGCTTGGGAAGGAAGGCGGCCGAAGGGACCCGCTCCTACCGGCTGGAGGTCTTGGTGAACCAGGGCTGCTCGGCCACGGAGGCCACGGCGTCGTCCAGGAGAGGGTGGGACTTGATGAAGCTCAACGTGGCGTCCGGAAAGTCGTTGGAGGTCCGGTACCCTGAGGCTTGGCCCACCCCAGCGCAGCTGCCCGGTCTACAGAGGGAGAGACCAGCCCTCCGATAAATGACAGGAGGCAGGAGAGAGACACGGTGGAGGCCAGCAAGGAGATGTCCTGCTGGCTTTGGGACGCAACCTTGAGACGCTGAGGACTAGAAGGTTTGCTCTGGTTACGGAGAAGTGGCTGATGAGGATCCTCGGTTTGCTCTGCAGCCTCGGGGGCTCCGTTTCCCCAACTCCCTGTGGCCGGGACTGCACCCCCTCCTTCCCAATCGGTCCTCTGCATTTCTTCAAACTTGGCCTCCAAGCTTTCTAAAAAGCTTCTTTACACGAGAGGCGGTAACTCAGGGGTCTCCGTGTCTCTTAGGGGCTAGAAACTTGATTGGATAATTTAGTTCGGAGAGATGAGAGGGGAGGGAGGAAGCACGCAGTTGGATCGGAAGAGGTTGGAGGGGAAGTGGAGAGAGGGGGAAGGAGGGAGGGAGGGAGGGAGGAAAGAAGGAAGGAAGGAAGGAAGGAAGGAAGGGAGGGAGGGAGGGAGGGAGGGAGGGAGGAAGGAAGGAAGGAAGGAAGGAAGGAAGGAAGGAAGGAAGGAAGG